TTTGGGTCCCACTTGAGCGTTGTTTTAGACCTTGATAATAGATCCAGGATAGTAGAAGGAATGATGTTTTAAAACCCATTTAAGAAACAATCCACATTGCATTTTCTATTTTATTTCATAAAGGAAAGACTGTAGAAATTGATATTGATAGTCAAAACCGTAACAAGATTAATTAGAAACGAAAATGAGCAAATTAACTAAAGTTTTAATCAGCTAAGGAAGTAATGGCATAAAATGTCGGATGGTATAAATAGCGTGTTTACTTATCTTAACTGGTGGGTATGCTCCATTGATTCACCATATTAAGAAAAGATCTGAGGGTTACGTGGGTAATTTTGTCCAAATACTGATAGTATTTGGAAAGAAACTGACGAGGGTCCACAATGGAATGCTAAAACAGTAGTAAAATGTTGTCAAGATACGAAACTACTCGAGATAACGAAAGACATGGTTTGATTAAGGGGTTAAAACGAGTAAAAAATTGGCTGATAGTGTGCTCCCCTGTTAACGTTAATGCTTTAGGGTTATGAAAGCTGAAGTTTGATGAGTTATTTATTGCCAACAGACGCTGTTGTAAATGAGCACGTAACTCCTGCAAGTCGGTCTTAATGGCACCTGCCCGTTGCCCCTGAATGTTGTAAAATCTCGTTTAGTGAACAGGAACTGGCATTTTAGGGTATTCATTCAGAATGGTGATTTCATTGTCGTCTTCGCCATTATTGAATTATTGGTACATTTTTTAAAGTTTATCGAGGTTAATTGCTTGTACCTCAGCATAAGTGGTGCCGCTATGCTATGAGTGGTTTGATGTGTTAGCCTGTTTGTTAGTTGAGTGCTTGTGTAGTAAATGTCTGTTTGCTTTCAGTTTAGCGAACTTCAAATGCACAAATGGATTATGGAGAATATTGATCTATGCCATTACGAAAAACCGACTCCCGTTCAGAAATTTGCCATACCGACTGCTCTTGCCGGTCGGGATCTTATGGCTTGTGCGCAGACGGGTTCGTAATTTTGTTACGTTTTCTTGTTGTGTTTGTTTATATGTTGCTGAATGCAATTCTCTACTGGAGGTAACAGTTGGGTTGCACGTTTAATCTGGAAGGCGTCTGCCTATTACGTCGATCACCTTTAACCCCAACCTATTTGCAGCGCAAGATTCATTGTCGTGCTTTAAACGGAGACTACTGGCTAGCCAAATCGTTTTAAGTACTTGCTATGCCCGTCCCATACAGGATACGTTGATAACAGAATAAAAACGGTTTATTTATACATACCGCAAACAAATGTTCAGTCAGATTGGTGGTAGACATTGAGTTAATTATATTGTTTACGTTGTGTATAAATAAACCGTGTTTTATGCTATTTTCGGTATGATCACTGAAGCACGAACGAAATGCTCCGTCTTCAGATACAGTATACATTTATATACTATATACATATACATGTAAGTGGAACTGACGGCTGATATAGGTGTAAGAGTATTTTGGAACCCGTAGCAAAGGAGCATTTTTATTAATAGTTACAAACCGATATGGATGAGCTTTTGGTGTTGAAGTTGTGCATCGACGCTTGATTTCGCTTATTTGTAGTCTATTCAGAGTTCGAAATGCTCTTGTCAGATCTCTAATCGATAGGGATAGCATTGTTTTTCAGGCTCTGAATAGTCCTGGGTGATGGCATAGGCAGTATGCTTGGATTTGTTCAGGTAAAGCACA